GACTATTGTAAGAAAATTTCTATAGTGGAAGATGAACTTACTCTTAAACTTGGAACTTTGACAAAATGTATTTTTTTCGTGCCGGCGACCTTGGGTCTCTTATCGTGGGAAGAATCTATGGCCATGGGATTCGTATACTGAAGGGCGCCGACGACGCAGAGGTAGACGCTGAGGGCGGCCAGGGGCGTGAGGAGGAAGAGGCACAGGACGTCCACCAGAATCGCTCTCCAGACGTCGCGGTCTTCGCACTGTACCACAAACAGAGATGTTATAGACAAAAGAGGTGGAAAATGCATCGTCTGCCCCTCTCATTTTTCATGTTAGAAAAGTAAACGGTTCCCATAAATAGACGAAAACTCAAAGTATGGTCATCGTTACTTAAGGAGAGTAAATAATTATACGTACGAATTTAAAAAATGCCTTGTTCATTATATCGTTGCTCCATCTTAATGATGCGGTTCAGTCGCCACAAAATGGGTTGTGTTCAACAGTTTTAGGCTTACTGGTTTCGAAACAAGACGGCGTTGCTTCCATTTATACCTTAGCACAATGCAATGGTTTATGCAACTACGCTAGTTAAGTTTGCAAATCTAAGACGATACTTCCTAGTTCCCATGAATGTTGCAGAAAATTTTATAGCAATGTTCCTGGTAATACTGTGCTGTGTACTGACTACCGAAACGAAAACATTTCACATTTCCGCCATTACTCTCGAGGGGAAAAAACTGTCAATCTTTATGGTATGGTATTCACTCAGCTTGGCCAAATTGAAAATGATATTCTTGTAAGACAATATGTCTTCGATACAAGAAATAATCTGCAGACACGATCGGATCGCCACAAGTGAAGAAAAAATGATCGCGAAAAGAGCTGCTCAACAGCCTAAGCCCCTATTTTCCCTCCTACTCATACCGAGTTTCTCTACAATGTCCAGTCCCGGCAAATTCGATTGTTGAATATATTGTGACAGTCTCTGACGAGTGCGTCCGTACTCTAAACATTTACCCATTTCTAGTACACTAACACAAATGCGCTGCATGAGAGACCCACCTTCCACAAAGGTCTAGGTTTGCGAATGACCGTGAAGGCGAAGTGACACAGCTCGCACGTCTCGCAGTTGGACACCGTGAGCCATCGCTCCAGACAGGTCTTGTGCACCAGACCCATGCTTCCCATGCACCAACAAGGGGATATCAGCGCCTCGCTTCTCTCACCTGAGAAGAAATGGAATATGTAAATCAACTTTTAAAGATAACTAAATAAATTGTTAAACATAACTATCATTAGGTCAATAAATAAATAATTAAAACAAATTATTAACCAAATAGATATAAATAATGAAGCAAATAGATGAATAAAATACTTCAGCAAATAAATAAATTAATCCTTATGTAAATATGCTAATAAATACATTGCTCAAAGATCCGAGCTTTAGTGTTCAACGTTTTCTCCACTAAGTCAACCTGTTGATAAAATCAATTCTCAGACCACAAACCATATTGCTTTAAAACCACATAGCTGAGTGTGCAATGGAATACATGACCTTATCAAAGAAATGATGAAAGTGTCCGTAGCGGGCTTATGGATCACACAAGTGAGGGAGGGAGGGAGAGAGCCAAGGCCCAAGAGGTATGAGAAGGGAGCCAGCCAAGACCCTAGTGAAAGGAAGGATGGGAGGGAGCCAGCTAAGAGAAAGGAAGGATGGGAGGGAAGGAGGGAGCAAGCCAAAAGCCAAGAGAAATGGAGGGAGGGATGGAGGGAGCCAGCCAAGGCCCAAGTGATAGGAAGGATGGGAGGGAGAGAGGGAGGGCTGGGAGCCAGCCAGCTAAGAGAAGGGAATGATAGGAGGGAAGGAGGGAGCCAGCCAAAAGCCAAGAGAAATGGAGGGAGGGAGCCAGCCAAGTCAAGAGAAATAGAAGGAGGGAGCCAGCCAAGGGAAAGGAAGGATGGGAAGGGAGGGAGGAGGGAGGCGTGGAGGGAGCCAGCTAAGAGCCAAGAGAAAAGGGAGGGAGGGATCGGGGGAGGTAGCAAAGAGAAAGAGAGGGAGAGAGGGGGAGGGAATCAGCCAAAAGTCGAGAAAAGGGAGGGAGGGAGGGGAGCCAGTCAAGAGCCAAGAGAAAGGAAGGGAGGGAGGGGAGGGAGTGAGTCAGCCAAGGGTCAAGAGAAAGGGGGGGGGGTGAGAGGACGAAGGAAGGAAGGGAGGGAGGGAGGCAGCCAGCCAAGAGAAAGGGGAAGGAGGGAACCGAGAAAGAGGGGGAGGGAGAGAAAGGTAAAAAGCAAAAGAGAAAGTTATTCGACCATTTAAGCCGAGAATCCAACCACTGACCTTCGTGGCAGATCCGGCAAAAGCGGCCAACGCTGTGGCAACTAGTTTCGCTCCTGCAGGAGGCCGTGGGCGATATGTGGATGGGTCCTGCGTTCGCCTTGGTGCCTGGTTCAGAGGGAGGCGGAGAAGCAGCCGACGAACCTATATGAGACAGCATGCAAACAGACAAGCTCGTTGATTCCACGACTGGAGCTACAGGCGGAGAGGACGGATGGATCAACTGCGAGGCCAGTCCAGGTATGCGGGCAGGTGGTGACAGCTGTTCACCACCTGCAGTGGAATGTACTGGAGGTGACACGGCAGATGCATCTGGAGAAGAGGAGGAACGATTTAAGAAGAGGAAAAAGAGTACTTCAGAATCTATGAAGTTCTGAGATTTTTGTTTATCGCGTGAATACTCATGCATCTAATATAGACAATGTTATGATAAAAAATCCACGAGGACAATACTAATGTGGTATCTACGGTTAATTTTAACGAGGGCGACGCACAAAGATAGAGGGATATGGACACCGCCAACTTTAAAGAACATCAGAAATAGTCTTAAACACGGTACATCTGCTTCGAAATGACGAAAATATCTCCTGCAAAGAAACGTTCACACTAAAACAACACCGTAGCCAGTGTTCTTACTTTTTTATATAAATTGGCACGAAGTGCAAATAAAGGGGGAGGTTAAATAGGGGCTTGCGCCCCTCCTATTTAGTCAATAAATATAGGTTTGGATTATTGGGTTCGCATGTTACGCTAGTTTGGAGGGTGCGTCGCTCTCGGTAACAAACATCCAATTATAGAAAAGGAGCTTCGCTCAAACGTATTACAATGAATCTGATCTTGAATATTCAGATTAAACAGTAGAAGTGCCATTTCTTAGCCATAATAGTATAATTTCTAAACTAACACAATAGTGGCGCTGTGTTAAGCGATCGCCGCATCCTCTACACTGAAAGCCACGCCAAAAAAACTTGGGTGGATTCTTTCTGTCAATAAAACGCGTGAGGGCTACTAGATCTATCTTGCTAGAATATAATTTGTAGGGTTTGCTGGCTGTTACCAGAAAGCCGACTGCACGCGCGGATTCTTACTAAATATTCGCCAAATCGTCTCCCAACACATGACTCGTTTTAATAGTTCCTAACCCTTGTTCAAGATTTCAAACCCCTTGCTTATTACACTGCCTGAAATCTGTAGCATCTCTTGATATATCATTATGTTTTCACAGCAATCTCACGGGAGAGAAGCAACATGAATGCAATGCCAATGTTAGTTATGATTTACGTTCTTTTGTATCATATCGGGTAACAGGCTTTCCAAAGATTGGTAAAATTCGACTGGTGTCGTGTAACGGTTTTCTCCAATTGGACGAATATAACAGTATGGATAGGACTAATAAAAAACAAAATATATTAATTTATCGTTCCCTTATCAATTCATCACAGCGTTAGCATTTACCCACCCAAAAGGATAAAAAAAGTAAAATACAGCTAAACGAAAATCAACGAATAACAAAGTAAACATACCGGAAAAATATACACTATCGCGTGAAACTTACCTGTCCTCATGATTATGACAATATACCACGTTGTCCTTAAGATATGCTGATGCTCCGAAATCCTTATAGTCTTCTATTCACCCAAACCAACATGGAACACTTGATTTTAAAATAAAGAACTCGCTAACCGCATGATAGTCTCGGCACCGAAATCCCTCCCGCCGCTTTGCCAAACAACAGAAGTTCTGTTCTTTCGCTCTGACAATGTGGATATTGTAGGTACTACTGTGGCTACAACTGCCATACTTGAGCAATTTAGCGTAACAACCAACAGCTCTGTTACTTCTATACAGCTCGTTTGTTTAATTGTTTGTTAACTTCCACGCTTTAGAAATCGTATGTTTCATGTTGTTTTTGAGTTGGATCAAAAATTTCCCAGTGGATATATATTCATATATTTTTTTTCTATCTTCATCCGCCTTTTAGTAAAGATTTTGCTCTCTTTTCGCTCTTCTTGTATTCGTATACAATAATCATATACGTGCTGTCTCTTTTGCTTCAATTTATTCATTTGTTCCCAATGTTTTATAATGTAGGCCTAATCGTTCTAACTTTATGAAATTACTGTCAATCCAGTAATCATCTATATTGTTGTTGTTGTTGTTCACGTTGTTGCTGATGTTGTTTTGTTGTTTTATTTTCTTTTCTTTTCGATTTTTATTCTTATTGTTATCATCATTACCATTATTAGTCATCATTATTATTAGAATATCATTGTAATAATGAAAATGATAATAATTACTCATATGATTACTAGGCTTTTGATTTTGATTTTGAATTTGATTATAATGAGGATGATTATTGTTAATATTGTTATGATCATCGTCAATATCATCATTATTGTTCTCAGTATCTTTATTATATTATAGATATTCTTACTACTACTATTTTTACTACTACTACTATTGTTATTTATCATTATTATCATTATTATTATTGTTTTATTATTATTATTATGATGATGATACTACTACTACTACTAATACTAATACTACTACTACTACTACTATATATATAATAATATAATAATTATTATTATTATTATTATTATTAGTAGTAGTAGTAGCAGTATAGATAACATTATCATTATTATAATCTTGTTATAGTAATAATGATAGCAACAACAATATTGATATAATGATAATAATAATAATAATAATAATACATAATTATAATAATTATAATAATGATATTAATGGTAATTATTATTGTCATTATTTTTATCATTATTGTTATTATTATTACTATTATTGTTATTACTATTATTATTACTATTATTACTATTAATTATCATTATTATTATTATTATTACTACTATTATGATTATTATGGTTCCCATCATCATCGTCATCATATTGTAATTGTTATCATTATCTTTATCATTACTATAATTTTAACTATTACTGTTATCTACTATTATTACTATTATCATTGTCGTTATCATTATCATCACTATTATCTGCTATTATTGTTATTATTATTATTATCATTATTATTATTGTTATTATTATCATTATTATTATTATCATCATCATCATTAATAGCATCATTATTATAATTGTTATCATTATTATTATTATCATCATAATTATTATCGTTATCAGCATTATCATTATTATTATCATTACTGTTATTTTCATTATTATCATTAGTATTGCCATCATCATCATCACCATCATCCTTGTAAATGCTATCGTTATTATCATTATTATTATTAGTAGTATTGTCATTATCATTATTATTATTATCATTATTATCATTATAGATATTATTATTATTATTATTATCCCGTTGTCATTATCATTATCATGATCACTGTTATTATTATCATTGTTGCTATTATCATTAATATTATCATTGATATTATAATTATCATCATTATTATTATTATCATTGTCATCATTATCATTGTTATTATTATTATTATCAGCATTATATCTATTATTGGCATTATTAATATCATTACTATTTTATTGTTTTTTCTATTATTATCATACTTATTACTATTGTCATCACCACTATCACTATCATCGTTTTTATTATTATTGCTGTTATTATTACTATCACCTTTGTTTTATTATTATTATTATTATTATTATTATCATCATTACTATCATTATTATTGCTGTTATTATTACTATCACCTTTGTTTTATTATTATTATTATTATTATTATTATCATCATTACTATCATTATTATTACCAGTGTTGCTATTGTTACTGCTACTGTTGTTATTATTATTATTGTTGTATCATTATTATCATGTAGCTAAGTGCAATCTTAGGAGAAAGGGAACCAAAACAAGGTACTTGTAAAAGTCATATGTATTATAAAAATAAAATAATCTGTATACAGTACTTCCTTACACCTATAATAGTATCTCTGATGGCCGTTCGAATAACGAATTGAAAAGGGAAAATGTTACAAAAAGTAAAACCAACGTTCTAAAACATTATCCATGAAGCTGGGGAGAGAAGATGGAGTATGAAATCAGCAACGTGAGATCAGAAATGCAATAACTAATTATGAATTACTTATGCACTTACAAATAACTGATGAAAATGTGCCAGAATACCTGTGAATAAACATGTAACAAATATGCGTGGAGCAACTGGGCGAAATAAAGCACATACAGTAATTTCATACAGAAATAGAGGGCACTGCAATACTTGTAATGGCTGTGAAGTGCAGAAGCAAAGAGCGAAAAAATAACAGTATATTCTTGAATGACATTTGTTAAGCCATATATTTAGTACGACCAGAGGGAGAGAGAGAGAGAGAGAGAGAGAGAGAGAGAGAGAGAGAGAGAGAGAGAGAGAGAGAGAGAGAGAGAGAGAGAGAGAGAGAGAGAGAGAGAGAGAGAGAGAGAGAGAACTTTCAAATCGCCAACTGAAAACGACAATACGGGCCGACTATCTCACAGGCAGGAAGAACCCACGTAAGTGATCGTTTGAAGGAGTCGACGAAGGAGCCTGAGTCTTCGATATAAGAAGGAGGTTTGTGGTGACTCCTAGGCTGAACGATGAGCCTGTGACTCGACCAACTGACGAGTCTTTCTCCTCACTGAATGACTCTCCTGTTTCTTGGCTGTGAGGCGACACTATACCTTTCTCTTGCGACAAATCAGATTCTTTGCTTTGTGATCCAACTTGTTCTTGACTGCTTGGAAGGTGTACATCTTTACTGGATGATGTATCTTTTTCTTGGACATCTGCTTGTGCTTTTCTCGAACGGATGATGGTACTCGACTTCTGATCCGATCGGCCCTGTACTTTGTAACAGGGCGGTTTTTCTGCCAGGCGATGGGCTTCCTTCTTGACTGTGCGAAATGTCAGTCTCTTCGCTTTGTGTTTTACTTGTCTCTTGACTGCGTGATGTGTCTGTCTCCAAACTGTGTAAAGGTTCTATTTTTTTGTTTTTAGTCAAGTTTTTCTCCAGGCTTTGTGAATGTTCCGTCCCTCGACCGTGAGCAAGGTCTTTCTCTTTGTGATGAGAAGAGTCTTTCCCTTTGCCGAGGGAATGCTTAGAAACTTTTTCAGGAATATCTACAAGTTCTCGACTTTGTACAAGATCAGAAATCTCCAGGCTTGTTGCAGTGAGCTGCTGCTGAAGGGTAAGTAGTGAGTCTTCCTCCTCCTCCGAGGAAGAAATTTCAGAAGACAAGTCAGGGCTCTGGCTCACCAGGGCCATGTGGATTTCAGTCGAAGTGAGGCTCATGTCCTCCCCCGAAGAGACTAGTTCGTCGTGACTTAGCTGAGGACCCCGGGGATCCCCGAAAAGAGGATCGATTGTCGGCTGCGGTGCCCAGGCCACCGCAGCCTCAGGGAAAGGGCTTCGGGGAGGAAGGAAAAAAGGGCTGAGGCGTCACGGTCCCGGACGGGTGCGAAGTGGTGTACGTGCGGATCTTGGGCGGGTACGAGGGGCCGGGGAACCGCGGGCCGTACTGGGGGCCGAAGAAGGGCGACGAATAAGGGCTGTAGTAGTGTGGGGACGGGCCACCGTAGGGCGGGGGGAGCGTGGGTCCTCCCGAGTAGTGGAGGGGCGTCTTTATCGGGTACGGTGGAGGGGCAGGTGTGTAGGGTCCCGCCGGGGGTGCATAGGGCGACGCAGAGTATGGCGGAGGGTAGGGCGAGGGCGACGCGGAGTAGGGCGGAGGGTAGGGCGGGCGAGCGAGTAGGGCGAAGGTAGGGCGAGGGCGAGGGCGTGTATGGCAACGGCGTGGGCGAGGGCGTGTAGGGCAATGGCGAGGGCGTGTATGCGAGCGGCGAAGGAGTTGGGGAGATGAGATGCGCCGGGACGAAGAGCGAGTGCGGGCGTGACGGTCCTCGGCTTGTAAGTCGTGGGTCTGGTCGTGACGACCTTGGGGGCGGACGTCGTGACGACCTCTTTGGGCTTGTAGCTGGTCACCTCTGGCAGCCTGAGGGGTGAGGAAGACGTCCTGATCACGGGCGCGGGGGTTGGGGTCACCGTCGTCAGGGGAGGAAGGGTCGTGACGGCGGGGACAGGCGCTGGGGGGGGGGGGTTTAGGAACAGCGGTTGTGGGAGGAGGGGGAGGGGGCAAAGGCTTAGAGGTCGTGGGGGTCTTGCGGGGGTAGTAGATCGGCGCAGGCGAGGTGTGGACGGGAGGCGTTGGGTACAGGGGCTTGTAGGTCGTGATATGAGGGGTTGGTGGTAGGAGGGGGTGGTGGGTGGGTGGGAGGAGGGGGGTGGCGGGTGGTGAGGCTTGGGCAGATACGAAGGGGGGGATGAACAGGCTCTTCGGATGGGTGGTGGAGAACCTTGGCGTGGTGAGGCCTCGGTCGCCGACGTCGGCCGTAGCCTGGGGGCGGCCTCGGCCTCCTCCCGTAGGCGGGCCCCGGCGCGTATTTGGGCTGATGGTGCTGCGGGGCTGGGTGGGCGGCGCTGGTGGGCTCATACGAGACCTTAGCGCGATATCCGTTTTCGTCAGCCACGTACGACACGATCTGGATGCGTCCGTCGGGCAGGGACACGCGGTACTCGCCCGTGGTGACCTTGCCCTCGCGCTCCTCCAGGTGGCTGTAGGCCGCGCCCGTGTCGTCGTCACGCACGCTGTACGCGAAGTCGTAGCTCACGTGCTTCTGCGGGGCGAGGGAAGGGCGCGAGTTAGCTGATGCAATTGCAAGACTGGCGCTCAATAATGAACTCTTTTGTCAATTAATTAAGACGCAAAATATATTACAGTGTAGTGAATAAACATTCAGGCTAAGATCTTTATAACCTTGATATCTGATTTAAAAGTTGAAAAGGGAACCGAACTAGATATTAGCTATATTGCCCGTCACAAGTACTGTTCTGTATTGCAGTGTTCAGGTTATCAGACTTCACACCAAATCATCACAGCTCAAGTACTGTTTATTTCAAAACATTCATGCATCCAGAGATAGCGGGGAAAAAATAAATAAAAAGCTAAACTCCCCTTACAATTTACAAACCACAACACAGGTGATAATTTGCGGTCATAATTAGGGTTGCCTAACATGAAGGATTTTTCATATATAAACGCTGGCTTTATTTCGTGTGGGAAAAGTACACACAACTGATAGGGGAAAGTATATAGTGGCCCTAATTATCTGCCTTTTAAGTCTTATGCATTTGCATGAGGAATTAGCAAGGAGTGGTTTGGTGTTGCGTCGTATTTAATGGTTCATTAATGTATTGCGATTTTGTAATTTACCAACTTTAGCGTGTATCATCTAGTCTGAGTTAATTAAAGGTTAACAATATCTATGTGGAATAAAGTATATGATCATACATAGTCTTCTAACGGTGTCCTTTGCTGAAAAAAACATTATATGTTATCTTTGTAATATAAATCATTCTTCATGTCATTTCCCTTTTCAAAGAATTTGGAAAAATGCCGGGAAAAATAATAATAATTAAAAGTGACAATCGACACACGTTACATATCCAGTATTTTTTTCTAATGCTACTACTTTTCCCGTAGGTATCTTAGCCCTACATCAAAACCAACCTTCTTCAGTAGAGGGATCTCGTAGGCCTCAAAGTCAAGTGGATCATCGTAGACAGCTTCTCTGGCGGCCCTCTCGTCCTCGCTGTTCCCCGCGGCGACCACCACCGCCACCGCCACCACCGCTACAGC